ACTCCACTGACAGTTGGTGAAGAAAATCAATAGATTTAAAAATATAAAGGGACTCGACGCATATTATGTAATGTGTATGTCATGGAAACCAAACCATTGCTAAACAGACTGTTAACAGACAGTCCTGTGATTAATGCTGAAAAAACTCCAGCATTTTAAGTTTTTTTTTTTTCAGGAAACTAGCATCATCAGAACAGAAAATCATTAGGTTTTTGCAAAATACTGAACTTTTCCTTCAGCTGTTGTCAGTTAACAGTGTATGTCCTGCTTGGAATCTTAATTATTTACCTACAAATGAACAAAAACACAAAAGGGAAACTAATCTGATGCTTTGAAAAAATGCACCTTTTTTTTGCTGCTACCTGACACTTTGATTCATTTTTCTGAGAGCTGTATTTTAAGAAAATTATAGCTGTCAAAATGAATGCATTAACCTATAGATAACCCATATAAATATATGGGTATATATGGGACTAAATATAACGCATGGCTTGAATGACAATACACTGTTGACACATTATGGCAGAGAGTCTTTGTTTCACAGAGCAACTCAAGCTCAAAATACCATCTTTAGTTCAACCTCACAGGCCAATTAATATATTTGAGGACAATGTCTTCACCAAAGAAACTGTCAACATGTTCTCCAGATCGAGACACCCTGGACATACAGACTAACACAGACTAAAGACTAAAATCAGCCCAATCAATCAGGCTATATTTTTTTAGTTATGTTTTTGCATATTTTCTTCATATTTTTCCATGTTGCTAATTTCATCATTTGGATTAGATACAAATAAACATTTTCTTTCGTCTAAGAATGTTGAGTCATCACGATTAATCGTGATTAATCTACAGCTATCGGAATAAAACATTAAATACATTTTCTAATGTAATGGCCAATGTTCTATTGCACGTTGAAGGCCTTATTTGTGAAATGGGAGATTATTGTGACAGCTTCCATTAGAAGTCTGGCATTAATGACTTTTGACTGCATCACTGTGGTCCACTGAACCCACCCACCGCAGCTCAGTGCAGCTAAGAAGACGAGTTGAACCCCTGGTTTGCTGCCGCTGCTCGGCCCGTCCTCCCCTATATACAGTGATGTTCTAATTCCATTTAGAGACGTGCGCTGTGTGAAGAATTCATTACGCTCATTATTGCTGTTTATTAGTGCAGAAACCACACAGAATTAAAGCAGCATTTCTGCTGCAGACAGTCGCACTTCATTAGGCTTTTACATAAACCTACCAAGGACAGTCGTCAGGGAAATGTACGCTGCACCAATGCAAAACTTTCTCCTGGAATTTGCGCTTGAGAAACTTCAGTGTGAGGTGAAGAGTTTGTTTGAAGAAAAGGAAAAAAAAAGCAAAAAAAAAAAAAAAAAGCTTTGTGTTGTGGTCTCTTTTGGCCATGGAGAGCACAGAGAACAGATGCTCTTCTGCCTCACACTGTGCTCAGCTCTCAATGTGTGCATCGCTCCACCCCCTGGTGGTTGGATGCTGTTATCGCTGCTCACTCACTCGTTTCCCGACAACAAGACAAAAACACAACCACCACCGTTAGGGGCGGAGCCAACTGGTTAAAGCTGGGAGTTTCATTTTAAGTCTTTAAAAGATACGACAGTTTTACAGTATTCTTCTTCAAGGAGTCACATTATTGTATTTATTTTTACAGACATTAAAACCAACTCTCATTTAAACAGTATTGTTGGAATGTGCAGTGTACATTTTTGGGATTTTTGGGGGGATTTTTTCCCCCATCACAATGCTGTCAGTTTTTCTTCTGTTATTTAGAGGGAAAAAAAATCACCTTAGCTTCATCCAAATTTTTGTTAAAATGCAGTACATGTGATATGTCTTGATGATAAACTTTGTGCTTCTTCTCTTCCCATAGCTCCCCTGGAAGTCTCTGACCAGTATTATTGAGTATTACTACATGTGGAAAACCACAGACAGATATGTACAGCAGGTAATGATGTCGGACATACTCACAGAAGAGAACAAACTCTTCAAAAAGTCGACTTCATAAATTCTTTTTTGGTTTCCTCTGTTCCATCTTCTGTCTCTGCTCCAGAAACGATTAAAAGCAGCCGAGGCTGAGAGCAAGTTGAAGCAGGTCTACATCCCAAACTAGTGAGTGGTTTGATGCTGAAAACTCTCTGTGTGGGGAAAGAAAATCAGCGTCTAATTGAATCCATTAGACATTGTTTGTGCTACACATTTGTCCTGAGGTCAAAAAAGAAACTTGCAGAATGATTCCACCTTTTCTCTGCTGTTTTACAGTAACAAACCAAACCCGAATCAGCTGAGCAACAATGTCAAAGCGGCTCTGGTGAACGGAGCAGCTGCAGCAGCAGCAGCGACAGCAACAGCAGCAGCGACGACAGCTTCAGTCGTACCAGGGCAACCAGGGTCTGTGCAGACCCCTGGTCTGGGCAGAGCCTGTGAGAGCTGCTACAGTAAGT